CTTCTGCAGCACACCCCACGCTCGGCCTGGAACACGAACCTTTCACTCCAAACTTTTGGAACCCCGCCCCCGAGCCTTCCGCCTGAATCTCCTGTTCACGTTTCTTTCGAGCTCGCCTGGCCACTGCTGGGCCACTCGAATCTAGGGGCTCCTCAAGAAAGGACTCAGGCACCGCGCCACTTTGCAAAACGAACCCCTGGACAATCGCCGAGGGTCTGATAGGAAACAATTCGAACGAGGATGATCATGACGATCATGATGATGGTGCTGATGATGATGATTATGATAACGACGACGATAACGACGATGACGATGGCGATGAGGATGACGATGGCGATTACACCTCAAAACATACAACTTCATCCGGATCTCCTGACCGTAGATGAAAAGTCCATTGTCTTAGTGCCATCACGGGTCGTCTGAGTGTTGAGGGCTCGATGATCAAAGGCTTCTGACGTCGATCTGGCCAGCTAGCCTTACGTGATTCGCCAAAAGATAGCTGCGACAGCCCACCATGAAAGCATTGAGATCAAACTGAAGACAAGCTCCCGGTCGTTTCGACGGAACACGTAGACTTGGATCGCGTAGCAAGCGACATAGAACGAGAACGCTGCGGTCACGATGGCAACTGACACAAAGAGGTCCAAGCATGGCTTGCAACATCGCGCTCGCAAGCGGAAGCACAAGCGAAAGCCCAGTTTAAAGATCAAAGGGTAAACTGCGAGGAAATAAGTGAACGTTTGTGCCAGATCGACTACTTGTCGGGTGGGGTCGCCTGCATGAGCAGCTGCTAACTCAAGACGACGCCAGAGATACGGACTTGAAAGCACCAAGATGCGCTGATAAGACATGGCTCTGTTTGCAAGCTGATCGATGATGGCCATACGCACTTCAGTCTGCACTTGCAAATCAAAGCTCTCCAGTGAGTTGTACCATGCAGTTATGCTCTCAAGAATGATGGCACGGTCGCATATGCGCAGGTCTTCGTGGTCGTTCTCGCAGCAAGCGCTGCGCGTCTGCTCAACCTTGAAGCCACGGAGTTGCTCTTGCAGGGTATCAACGCTGCGGGCATATCCTCGACCAGCGTGCGTCACCAAGCTCAGGCATAGAAGGACAATGATACCAGCGAGCATCAGATGGTGTTCTGCCTCAAGCAGTGAACCTTCCGAAGAGGCCAAGACGGGCTCTATGTAGGTATATATCATGGCCCCTGCCCAGAACAGCATCTCACCTCCCAGAAGCACCGGCCCCAACAAAGGAGGAACAAGCTGGAGACCTTCCTCGCCACCGGGGCGATGGCTGTGTAGAAAGGCAGCTATTTCGAAGACGCACCACCTTGCTTGACTGGGACAGGGCTTATGGCAAGTTCTGGATTTTTCTGGACCTGTTTGACGCCTCTTCTGTGTGATCTCGGACCGAGGAACAGAATCTACTAGTATCACCAACAAGGGGGAATGTCACAACAATAATAATAATATTGACATTAACTATATAATACTAACGAAAATGACCATAATCATAATGATCATAGTAATAATGATAGTAATAATCGGTTTTGAAACGGGGGGTAGCCACTGACACGAGAATCCGGGTCGCAGTCTTGTCACCCACGTAGGATCCCACAAGACCAGCATGGACTTCGACTGCTTCAGGAATGCGCCCATACTCATCATGGCTTCTCCCTTTCGATCTTCATCAGTCTGATGGATGCAGGCAATGTCTAGAAACACCAGCTTGCCTGGCGGCCAAAGCAGCAGCGTTATGCAAAAGGCTACAAACCCGAACAGCATGCACCATGTCCGTCGTGCACCCAGAAATCCTGTCGAGACGAGGCCGAAGGCTACGCCTGCGCTCAACGTTCCTGCAATGCTCGCTGGCAAGCAACTGTGGAGGTAAAGTATGTTGGCAAACTTGGCCCACCGTGCCCCCTGCCAGCTGTGGGACCAGAACTGATCGAGGATTGCGGTTTGCTGGCTCAATGAATGCAGATCGTCAAGCCGGCCTCGCAGCCAAGCCCACGGCAAGTAGCGCAACAGTCGCCAAACGCGCACACCACGTAGTATTTCTGGACGTGTCGCCGTCATCCGATTGACGATTGCTATGTAAAGCCGCACCAGCTGGGCAGCTTTGTCGGGATCTTTATCTGTCTTTGAAGCTGCTGAGCCTTCAGACGGACTGTGGTCCTCGATGCCGACCAAGATCTCCTCGCGCTTGCCCAGCACTGTCTCCGAGCTTTGCGGCAGCCGCATGGCTCTGTCGACATGCGCCGGTCACCGCCTCAAGGGAGAGAGAGAGACCGAGAGACAGTCCTCCGCCCTGAGCGTGCAGTGCCTTTAAGCTCCACCGCAAGTCGAGCCGTCCCTCAAAAAAGGGCTGCGCCGTTCGTTTCCGTGCAGTCACACTTCAATCAACCATTTAGACTTCGGGTGCTGCGAAAAGGCTTGTGACGCAGAGCTGTGTGATGTCACGGATCTCTCGGTGTCGAGGCAAACGAGTATACCCACAGCTTCACGTTAAGGCACAGAAAACACCATGCAGCCAAAAGATGTTTCGGAGCCGTATCAATCAAGTCTGCATGCTTGAGTTCGGGGCGATTACTGTACGATGTGCAGGCATTGCTGGTATGCAAACAATATGATATTCGGTGAAGGTCACAAGACGGGGATCGTCAGATGAAGCCATGCAAAGGTTATCCCGACTTCCAAAACTCGCATCCGACAGCACCTCCATCCGGCCGGGTCCCATGAACTGTGAAAGATCAGAGTATGTGTTGCTTTCCGGGTCTGGCAGAAACTGCTCCAAGGCGCTTTATGTCGCCATCCCCACTGTGCCCAAGCCGATGCACCAACTTCTCCTCACAGCGACAGTGTTTGGATACAGAGACTTGGGTGGTTGTCAAAATTATAGTCCCTTTTTGGGTACCCTACATATTGGTGCCGTATTATTTTCAGGACCCAAAAAGGGACCCTGATATTGACAACCACCCACTCCAACACTGCACAGAGTTTGCTTCTGAAGCCTCCCCGGAGCCCCACCGAATGGCACGGAAAGGTGTTGGACACTGTTGTCTTGGAGCTGGGACGTTTGGGATGCATTTCTCTACTGGCCCAGGTATTTACTATGACGATTACTAGTACTGTTACTATTAATATTACCATTACTATTACTATTACTATCACTAATCCTGAAATGTCGCGGTTTACAGGGAAGCATCGGATCCTGCACTTGCAGCAGTCTTCTGCCATGGGCCACATTCCCAAAAACCAAAGCGTAGACTCAAACTCATGCGTTGCAAACTTTACCCAGGAACCTCAAACGCAGACAAGGCTCCATAGTCGTGCGATTCAGCACTTCCGTCGGCGCCAGCAATGTGGAGGAAGCTCTCCTATGTGAGGGGGTAAATGGGGCGGGGGGTCGGGGAGCCTCAATACCCCCTAATAAGAACCTGATAAGGGCCTAACAAGGCCCATTTGAAATATGGTGCCCTACCGCCCTTCCCCCAACCCCCGTAAGGGTCCCTATGATATGAGATCGAGACGTGGCAAGAGCTTGAGTCTTGCATGAAGTCAATCAGAGCTGGCCACAATGTGAAAAAACAAGCCTACAGAACAAGCTACAATAACCGTTGATGCGGCCGGTTTGTATTGCAAGCCCTGCTCCAGAAGTTGGAACTTTCATCTAGAAAGACTGCTGGAAGCCCGGTCTGTCTGAGCATCAGAACCGGATACTCATGGTTTCGTGCATTGAGAAGCCTCAAGCAAAGAATTAAGCACTAACAACAACAGCAATTGGAATCAATAGCTATAACGCACCGAAAACGCAAAACCCTGTCAAAAACGAGGTGAAAGGCGTCTAAAACATGCTCCAAAGTGCGCGTGAAGAGGGCTTCGGAAGGAATAACAATGTACAAGATTGACATTGGCAGACCGTAATAGCAACTCTAGTAGTCATGAGAGCTATACCAAACAGTGCTATCTTGGCAACGATGATGCTAACAACGTTTTATTCGTATCAGGAAAAGTTAAGAATGACTGATAATGACAATAGCCATACACACAACAGCTAAGCGTGACAGTTCTGAAGATCATAAAACTACAATTCACGGGGTGGCAGAAGTATGGCTGATGAGAGAAAGGACCAACGGATCGATGCTCTTTTCCTGGGGCCTTTTTCGAGGCCGTCGCACAGGTCGAAGTTTAGCGCTTAGGGTTTGGGGATTTTGCGTTTGGGGCCAGTTGGGATTCAATTCTGAAGGCTTGCGGTGCTATAGCGGCCCAGTATACCATAATTATAATTATGCTATAATTGTAATAAGGACCCCCCCGAGAAAATAGTATATATAGGTAATTATTTAGGCCCCTGTAGTATGCCAAGGGCCCCTTCGGTTGTTGAAAACAGCACCCTTGAGACGCTTAAGTCTGCAACGAATGCATCCGAGATGCGGGATGACGACACAGTCCTGTGAGCAGTGGCTTAGGGCTTATAGAAGTTTAAAGTCTAGGGTGCAGGATTTGGGATTTGGGGTTCAGGATGGTTCGGGGCGTATAGGGTCTATTGATCACATGACAAAAACCGAACCTGTCATACATACTACAGCCAGTTCCCAATGGACTGCAGTCAACAAGATGTCGGCATCTTGTCCAGGACATGCAGAGACATGCTGACTCTACTGAAGCGGAGTCCTGCAAGATCTTGCCTACATCTGTTCGGTAAACGGAGATGAGCTAAGAAGATGCATTAAAGTTGCTGACTGGGAAGTGAGTGACTGTGGCTCGAAGCCAGCGCCCTCCATTCTGCGCCGACCTCCAAAACCTTGGGGACCTTTGCGCAAGACCAAACCGGAACAAGACCGGAACAAGAGAAGCCTCATACATATTATATGTCATATTATACTTATATATATATATACAGAATATTATTGTATATACTGAGCATTAATTAATTATATATAACATGTATTAATGTAGTATATGTATGTACTGTATATACTCTATAAACCATACAATACATATATATATATATATATAGCTGCTATATGTATAGAACCAGTCCTTGGCAAGGAGGCCGCGCTGGTGAATGTCGTCCAGCACCAGTGCGGCATCCTTCACAGCAGCTGCATCTCGTGGTTTACCGCACGTGCATGTGCAAGCTTCCAGAAACATAAAGGGTTTTCATAAGAAAAACCCTGCATGCTGATATGATGGGTGTCTGTGTAGCTACGTATAGGCAAGGAGCTGCGCGAGTACTCAATAAATGCAGCATGAATCTCCGATACAAATGCTTGCGAGCAAACCCGAGGCCGTGTGCTTCAGTCCAGGACGAGTTTTTGGGTGGGTCTGCGTGGTCAGCGGTCATAGCCCCTCGAGGAAAAACCGTGTGATCGGGGTGTGTCTCATGCATCATTGCTATGAGCATGACAGATATGATGGTGGTGTCTCTTAGAGTACTGCATGACAGCTGTTGCATCAGTGGTGACTGATTCTACTGCTTTTGCTTTTTTGTCACGGGCATTGTGCTGCTTCATGACTAAACTCAGAAAGGCAACATTGGCAGGATCAAGTTCGAAAGGGCTCACTTAGACTACTCCTGTGTCGGGGATGCCAATGCGCAAGTATAGTATACAGGGTAGTGACAGACAGTGGAAACCAAGTAGCATCTCCTGGCACATGACTCTGCAATACAATTCTGAAGGCTCTCGAAATCGCACAATGGGCTATCACCAAGGATCCATTCATCTAAGCGGTTCTGACATGAAACCAGAACCCTGACGCTGCACCGGGTCTGCCACACTAACCTACGGTCAGCTGCAAGGCGCACCTCGTTCCCCGCCATATCACCTGTCAGGAGTCGCGGCCATAATAATCCAACCCACTCCAAGACTCCATCTTCCTCATCCGCCAGCACCGCGCTTCCACTAGAAGTATCTATTCCAGCAGCTCGGAGAGTTGCACTGCTCCGTCTTCGGAATGCTAGAAATCGATCACGAACTGCAAACCAAGCAGAGGCACCCAGGATCTCGTGCACAAGCATGGTGTAGCTCCCTGCGCAGATCGCGGGTCCATTGGGATTTTCGGAAAGCTTTGGGGACGAAAGGTTTGGGATGGCTTGAGCAGTATCTTGGAAATATGTTCAAGTGTAGTACGGGGAGGCATGGGGATCCCCAAGATCGCGCTTCCACCTGCCTCCACCCCGAAGCCGCAATTCAGGATCGGTAGAAAGGCCGCAGAAGAGCTGCAGCTCCTGAAGTCCGCGGGAGTTTCAGTTTAGGGTTTAGGGTTCAGGGGTTTAGGGGTATAGTTTCACTGGCCTCCTGTGCTTGCGTTTCCCTTGCAACTTCTCTGCTTCAACCAAATAACTTAGCCTCGTGGCTCGCAACTGACAGAGACTGTTAGACACTCCGCTTCGCCAAGAACACATTGACATAGCAAACACCGCGTCTGGTTCTACCAGCTACGACTTCTACAGCTACTACCGCCGGCACTAATGCCAACTACCACGGCTAACTACTGCAGTACAGCGAACTACTGCTGCTACCCCCAATAGCGAGTGCCACCAGCACCAGCCCTACTACGACGACGACGTCTACCCCAGCCCGGGTAGTGCTAGGTACAGCGAAGCTGCAATACATACGAGGCTGTCGCCGTGAGGGCCCAGTCGCATGCATTGTCCCTCGTATGCGTTTGGACCTTGCATGTATTCAATAAGAGAACTTCCCTGGATAGTCTCACTGCTTCCTTGAGGCAAATGGTCGTCGTAACTATGTCCCGCGGCTCGGTGCGCTAGGACATGAAGCACTCGTGATGGTAAGCGCTCAACCCACGGTGCCATGCTCCTGGTCCCCGAGGTCAGCGCCAGTGAGGCGAACTGAAACGGCATGCTCTTCGCCTCACGCCATTGACGGAGAAGAGGGGCTTGGAAGAAAAAACTGGAGTGCTCCTAAAAGGGGAGAATTGCTTTGAGAATCTGCAAGCTTTCAATCGAAGACGGAAGGGATGCATACCGCGAAAGCCGGCAGCACGTAGGGTTTTGGCAAGCGCCTCATAGAAAGCCAAGCCACGCCGGACCTCCTGCACATTGGGCAGCCTGCAACACATGGAGTTATCATTTCTACCAGCACAAACATCTTCACGGTCAAGGCTGCCTCTGCAAACTCTGTTGCACACACACGGCCCTAGGGACAAGATTCGATGTCCCATCATCCCATTCAGTCCCTATTGCATCTGCTTCATGCAGTCCAGCAACTACGAAG